CCCTGCTTGCGCTTCCATCAAAGGCACATTGAACAATGACAGCATACCTTCCCCCTTAATATCAACATGATTCACGTAGAATTATTTCTGCAGATCTAATGTGCAACAGGCATGTTCTGTGCGAGCGTCCAGTGAAAACAAAGAGAAGAATGGCAGAGCTAATGTGGAGCTGGGCCTGCTCAGAGTTGGGTTTCAGGCTAATTGGGATCATACGCCGCATGTGCAGTTTTGGCACATAAGCTCGATTAATCAGGCGCTCTTTAATCGCGGTTCTCAATGTGCGTGGTTGAGGCACTCGCTTTCCTCGCCCTTCCTCCCAACACCCCCAAATCCCGGGCTCTGTCTAAGTATGGACCTTTTGACTCCATAAACACCCACTCTCTAAAGATTGGGGTCAACCTCTCTGTGCCTGCACCACAGCACTATCGGGCCACCACAAAGGCTCGTCCTAATGGTTAAATTGTACGGATGGTTCCAAATCTGCAGATTCCTGGCAGGCGGACTCTTCCCCCTGATTGTAATTTATGTCGGAAGTCATTGCTGTCCAACACTCCAATGCCCAGGAGGGGCAGGACGTGCACGTGGACGGAGCCCGCTGCCTGCTCTTTAATCTGCAGGGGGGGGGGGGTTTAAGGAAGACTCCCACTCTCACCTTGCTGCATTTCTGAAACCTTCTGAAATGTTTTTCTGACTTTTTTTCGGGACCTTTTGCAAACCCGAGCTGGGCTGTTTAGGTTAAGCTGTCATTAATCTGCATATGATTAAATCCTGACAGAGATTTGACATCCTGGGCAGGGACTGATTAGTCGTCTGCGTGGAGGGTGACGTTGATGGGGGGGGGGTGTACGGTGTGTGTACGGTGTGTGTACGGTGTGTGTACGGTGTGTGTACGGTGTGTGTGTGGAGGCTTGCAGATGTCCGTATCAGCTTGGGATCTTTAACTCAAATAAAAAGAGGTATAAAAGACCACTATGTGAAGGAAAGATTCCTTGTGAAAGAAATAAAAAAAGACTATATTTTATTCAATTTTAAAAGAAATTCACGCATTTTTAGTGAGGTCTCTGGATTTAAAAACATGGAGATAATTCAGTCTTAGAGGCTTCCACAAAATGAAATTAGTACCATATTAACTTTTGATTTTTACAGGGTTTTTTTTGTTATGAAATACGACAAAATATACTGTTTCCTTTTATCTGTAAAATCTCGATTATAACCATAGAAAATAGGTATAAACTTTCTTTAGAACTTCAATCCATTATAAGTATCTATCTGGCACACCACAGACAGGTCTCTTGAAAGTTAATATTTTTAAATTATGGGAGAAAAAATGCAACATCATCAGTGTGAGACATCTTAATGTATGCTAAACGGAAAAATAAAAAAGATGGTGAGCAATTGGATAAAAAGGTAGGACAAAGGAAGTAACAACTGGAAGATAAAAAATGATAAACTCTTGGCTGTGGATGAGTGACACTTGTAAATAAATGTAGAAAATCATAGTTCCTCAACACTGCATCAGAGGGAAATTATAAATACAAGAATATTCTGTTATATATCTAAATATAGTCATGCTCTTAATTTGCCCGAAACACAGGTTTTTAAAAAAAATACTACTATTATCATTACTGTTGTCATTTCTATTGTCATCATAATCTTTACTAACATGATTTACTGTGGCAAAATACTAGTTTAAGTGTACATGTGATATTCTGACAGTTTGAATCATAACTGCATCTATTTAAATCCTATTGAAGTCCCTCCCTAAACCTAAAAAACGAGCCTTAGGTTGTGTGGAGGTGCAGGACCACCATGCCTGCTCAGTTTGTGCTGATACAGGCTAAAACTCTGGGGAATGGAGAGGTGGACTTTTTTTTCTCTGTGGGGGAGGGGGCCAGAGGTTCACAATATGATTGTTTTTGTGTTAAACTGTTCAACTCATCCTGAAATAGCACACATAGTTTCACTCCTGAGCTGTAGAAAAAATCCTCCAAATTTTAATCTTAAAACATTTGAAAATGATGCCATTTTAAACCCCTCACAGCACGTTAGATGGTAAAAAACTGATAACTGAAGCTGTTAATCTGCTAATTGCACTTGAGGCCTTTCAGATTAAGATTATGTTTAAAACATATTTTCTTTTGAGTAGATAGTCCGGTCACTCAGGCTTTGGTCTTTTGTTTTCAGCGGTGTGGAAATGCAGACATTTGCCCCATCTTGACCCAGCTGTGTGTCAATCCCACACACTTGTAAACCACAGGGACACGCCCAGGTCATCAGACCCAAAGTAAAGTAAAGGAGAGCTAATTCGATTGGGAGCAGTTAGTGATGACACTTATTTAGATTGTGAAATCTGTTACTGTTAACATGGTGTTACCAACTCTGTTCTCTGGAATCTTATTTAACCTTTAAATATTTAATTGAGTTAGCATTTAGAAGTACATTTATCAAAACAGTTTTCATTTCAAAATGATTTCAGTTCACATTATCTTTACTGATTAAATATTTGTAAATGTTTTTTAATTGTGCTTTTTAAAAGTATCTCCTCCACAAATGTATTTACTACTAGAATTATTCTTCCCATCTTTAAATGTGTAAAATACACAGCAGTAAGATGGCTGTTGACAGTCATTTTACAAAAGCTCTTAGACATTAAATGTAATGTTTAGGATAACAAAAATGTTTTTACACAACACTAAATATGGTTTTGGATTTACATGGTTTGCTGTAAATGCCAATTTATTGCTTATTTCATTTTTTCCCCCTCTTATCAAGAAAGATAATGTAAACTATATCTATCTCAATCATGTAAAAAACAAACAGACACTATAGAATTTTTTTGGTACGAGCAATGATAACTTGGGAAAGCTAATTTAACATCTCTTTTGGTCAATCTGCAAAGAAAAGATTCGAAAGGAACACAACATTGTTTAAGTTTATACCTTGGAAACAGTGGAATAGAGATTTTTGTTTGTTTTTTGTTTTGTTTTTTTACTTTTGAGACACAGAAAGCTGTTTAAACCATTTGGAGTTGAAGAACAAAACGTGCATCGCTGGAAGTGTCAGTTTTGGACATATTGTCTCTCGTCGGTTTACTGATGAAACATAAAGTGTTTTAAACGGCTGTCACCTTACTTTCTTTTAGAGTAATGATCCCAGTAATTTATGTTTACATAAGTGTTTTCATCCATTTGCATCCTCCACCACTCCACCGTGATGTTATTAAGAATTAAATATAAATATGTTAACATCAGCCAGACAACGCCTACAGAATATTTATTCATATCTAGTTCATCCCATTTGATAATGAAACAGAAATAACACGTTTCCATCGTTTTAGTTTTGCTTTCAGATACCTGTCCGTCAATAACGGAATTCCCACGGCTTCTCATAACTGGAATGCGCTTTTTAAACTTTTTATCTGTGTGTTTATTAAACTGAACTCCGATTTTCTCCCACATTTCAAATTCATTTGGCTGTTTGGAATGAATTTGAATACAATTAAATATATTTTTCTCTCACTGGTGCCGTGTAAAAGCCTAGATCCAACTGAGTTTACTTCACTTAACTAAAGCCTGACAGAAAAAAACAACAACTAATGTTTCATTTTGAACCTTCTTCATTTTCGATTTGAATATTTCATTATGGAATTCTTTAATTTCGCCGTGCAAACCCCGGGACAGACCATGAAACCGTGGAAATCAGAGTTTATTTGCTCCGCAAACGACCTCAGATCCGGGTCCTGATG